ATCGGCCTTGTTATTATTCACAGGCTAATTTATTGTCGAAACTACTCAAAACAATGGCAAATGTTTGGATTGTACAAAGAGGAAATCTGTAATCCATTGTAGAAACATCCTCAAAGACTCGATAAAACTGCATTACAATATAGTCCACTGAAATTAGATTACATTTCATCATTATAAGTTAAATTTAATAAATTTGTAAATATATGAATCGATTGAGGCTGAATGATATTTCTCAGTTATATAAATATAGCATATAAAATAGAAATATTTAAATATTCCCATCATTGTCTTACCATCATGAACAACTTGAAAATTTTTTAAAGATGCCTAAATTACTCGTCCATGAAAGTTTAGCACATATGATTGTCATCATTCCATATAGGCGTCTTATTGTGTAATTCTATTAAATTATTCATATGTTTCAATTTCCAGCGTTCTGAAAAAGCATAAAAGAAGAAATTTCATATTTAATTTTATATTTAATGGCCATTCCATATTTTATAAATGTTTAACATAAACAACGTGGTAATATTATGTTGCAGAATATTTTTAAACATGTTAACAAACTTTTAAATTTCTATTCTTTTCATTTTAGATCTGATCGATATTGCTTTAATAGTAAAATTTATACTCAAGTTTATATTTATTGTTACGCTTACTAAGCAACGTCTCTGATTTATCTCGCGAACAAATTTCCACCTTCTTTTGATCGAAAGTCATTCCCGGTTTAACGACCGTCATTTTATAGTCCTTTAAAATCTAAAACATTAGTGTCATACACTAGTGCGGCTAATAGTTGTTGCGAATTCGAACGTTCGTCGCGTTTATTCATCAATAAATATCCGTTGTCGTAAATCGTGAACTACAATCGCAGAAAATTTGTTTTCAGCTTACCGATTTAAGATTCTCTTCCTCTTAAAAGATCCACAATATCACTTGAAATCAGATCATTGCACTTGTTGCACTTTTTCTTCTTTCAGCCAGCTAATAGAAAAATCTACATAAATATAAACAAATAAAAACTTGATTATCAAAATAAATAAATGTAAACGTACCTTCTTCCCAGAATCAAGCTCCGATTGTAAGAAATAAGTCGGGTAAAAGCCATGGTTCACACTTTTTCAATTGCAAATCGTTCTACATTTATAATGCATTTTCTTGTTTACAAATTGTACAAACTGTTTGATATGTCCTGACACTGCCTTCTAATTCTGGAATCTGTAAAATATGTAAACATATTTATTACACTTAATTCAATATGTATACATCTATATGTACATGTAACTTTTTGTTTCTCTACTATATAAAAACTATAATAAACAAAACATTTACAAAAAAAGAGTATGAATTTTCAATATGTGAATTGAATTCATAGTCAAGACGTAATATGAAATTCGTAATATTACTGACACAAAAAATGGCCGCGCCATAATTGATTGTAATGCTTCACTATCACTTGCGATTAGGGTAGCCATCAAATGTCCGGGAAAAAAAGAGGACGGATAGCTATCCAACCTCGGAGTAACGCGAGAGAAATAAAGTAAAATATTTACCAACAAGATTCCCTAAAACACCGGACGAGCATAAATCACCGCGGACGTCTTTGGAAAATCCACCCGTCTTCGGCATTCCAAGAAAAAGACGGTGTTCAGAGAAAAGAGGACGGACGCGGCAAGCTCTACTTGCGATACAACTTATCAATGCGTACACCCGTCACTTTGCGACATGTATTAATTTTCGCGAACTACGGATATTCGCGCGCTAGATAGCAACAAAACGCGAAGAAATAACGAAACAATTAGAAAAGAAACGTACTTGAGCTGACCATTCTTGGAAATGCTCAACCGTGTTCTTGGAAGTGCTCTACCGCGTTCTTGGAAATGCTCTACCGGGTTCTTGGAAATGCTACTGCCGCGAAACATTTTGACAGCCTTGCATTGTTTTCGACGCGTGTGCGGTACTAAATACTTGTTGTTTCAAACGTCCGACACTTTGTGGTACATGCGTATCACGAATAGTTACGTGAAAAATGACAAAAATAGTGAGAACTACCTGATTTGAATGAAGAAGCTCCGCTTCGAGTTGCGCGTCGTTTACAGAGAAAGTGTCGGTGTTTCTTGTCGCTCGTACCAATTGCAAGCGTAGGTCGCGTCCACATTGTCCAATCGCATTGGTTATGTTTGGTAAAGTGACCAATGCAACAGAATATTGTAAACACGACCTACGCTCGCGATTGTTGCGCCAAGTGGAACTTACTCGTGATTGCTCGAGTTTGAACATATTGAAATGCGCGGTAAAGCACAACATGCGATTCTCTTTTGTTCTATATGCATAAGTCCAACCCCCCTGTTCCGTTATTACTGGCAGTATTGAAAATTTATAGGTTCACGTTACGTATCCTATAGATTGTTCAATACTGCCAGTAATAACAGAACAGGACCCCAAGTGTCGAGAAAGATCAAGCAACTGAGGCTAGCACTGAGAGCATATATTTTTAAGTCATCAAATTTTTATCATGTCTTGACGTAAATAAAACTTTACAATTATTATTATATCTTGACGTAATTTTAATTCACCAAAATTTATTATGTTATTCAAAACATAATAAAACTTCGGTGACTTAAATTAATGTCAATACAATAATAATTGCGACTTTTTCTTATGTCTTGACGTAATAAAAATTCGATTGTCTAAAATTATATATGCTTTCTGTGCTGGCCAGCTGCTTGTTCTTTCTCGACAATTGGATTTCTGTACATAACAACGGAATAGAACCGTGTCCACGTTTAAACATAACGTACGTATCGACAAGTCATTCGTGAACGTGGCTACGTAGTTGCCAATGTGCATCACTCGTGGACATTGCGCTGGCTTAAAGCCATTCTACATAAAGCCTGTTCTACATTCGTCGCAAGCGCAAACGCAAGAAACAGATCTGGTAGAATTGACTAATCGTATTGATCAAATCAACCAATTGACCAGCGTGATTGGTCAATTCTACGAGATCTACACCTTGCGTTTGCGCTTGCGATCAATGTAGAACGGGCTTTTGGCTATAACCATTCTATAGCGTCTATCTACTAGCACCATCAGTAGTAATAACAGAAATTTTCTGATTTTTCGACGACATTGAACTACATTACCGATCATTTGCCGATCAATTGCAGAGAGTCTATCTTGCTTACGCGTGCACTGCGGTCGGCGCGTGCAATGGTACAAAATGGCTACCGGGAAACGTCAATACATTTTATATTAACAAGAGAGCTTGGTGCCTTTGTGTGAATTACCGAGGCGCGAAGTTGCATCGCAATAGAAACGCATGCTGTCTAATTGACCGGTTCCTGATTTTCTTGTGATTTGCGTGTATGTGAAGGTGCGTGTGTCGACGCGATGGCGGAATTTGTGCGCGGTGGGCCCAGCGTGTCCAACAATGCCAAGGTACGTTGTCACGAGAGGAAGCATTGTATTCGTCCAGTGCTTGTGTTGCCGGATGATGCATATTATTTCTAACTTGAAAGCAACCTCGTCACAACTAAGTGCAACGTCGTCAATTGCGAACGATGCTTTGTGATCGTTATCGCGGACTTCCCGACGCATCTTATTTTAATATTTTCTCATTTATCAGCTCGCAGTTTTCTCTTTATTTACGTGCAATCACGAAATTTATTCGATGTCTTTCCTCATATTGACATTGTCCGCTCGCATTCTCAATTCCTCCATTAGGCATGCACGCCACAATAATGAAAAATTTATACATACTCTTTATGTTGTCTTTTTACTTTGGACTTACATTATTACATCGTGATATCTGTTGCGCTTTCCGATGAATAATCATTGATAATATATTAAAATCAATGAAATTAATGAGTCCGTCTCTTATGTCTTATACTGATTATACTTTTAGATAGAACATAACAGCAAAGGAGGATCTCCTAGCACAGGAAGTGAAGATGGTGGTCAAAATGAATCATTGAATGCGGAGAATGAATTTGATCCTTTTTTAGAAAATATGCCAGATGATATACAAGATACAGAAGAACCTGATGGCACAAATGCTACTCTGTTAACAGCACCGCCAGAAAATCAGTGAGATTTGATATAGTTTAACTTTTCAAAAATATATATACACTTTTTTGAAATATAAGTCATACAAACTACACAAATATGATTAAAATCCAAGTCAAATGTGCATATGATTGTAGGGTTAAGATTACTACAGGAAATATTTATCTTTTCTCAGGTGGTATCATGGTAGATTAGATAGATTTACAGCGGAAGAAAGACTGTGGGACGCCAGCAAAATGGGCAGTTATCTGGTCCGTGAGAGTGACAGAAAACCTGGGAGTTACGTTCTGTCTTATTTAGGAAGAACTGGAATAAATCATTTTCGAATTACTGCTGTTTGTGGAGATTATTACATTGGTAGGAATTGCAGTGAATTGAATGAAAAATTCAAACTTAATTTCATATGTAAACTTTTTTTTACATTTGTTTAATGTTTTACAGAAATCTCATTTAAAAAAGAGGACATTTACTAATTTGAAATAATGTTGCAGGTGGTCGTCAGTTCAACAGTCTATCGGATTTGGTCGCGTATTATACTCATTGCTCAGATCTGCTAAAGAGAGAAAGACTTATACATCCAACACCACCTCCTGAACCAGTGAACGACAAAAAGCGAATTGTCGCGATCTTACCCTATACAAAAATGCCTGATACCGACGAACTGAGCTTTCAAAAAGGAGATATATTTTTCGTGCACAACGACATGGGCGATGGATGGTTGTGGGTTACTGCTCACAGAACTGGCGAACAGGGTTTAATATTTCGCGAATTAGTAGAAGATTTGGATGATTCAATAGATCCCAATACAGTGTTTTCTTGGTTTCATCCCAATGTTACCAAGAGCGAAGCAGTGGATATGTTGGTGAAGGCAGGACCTGGAAGTTTCTTAGTAAGAACCTGACAAATTTATTTGAAACAATGATTTTTATCTTCTTTGATTTTACTTACTTTTATAATCTTGTCACTTTTAACAGGTGAGACCGTCAGATAACAGTCCGGGAGATTATTCACTTTTTTTTCACATAAATAACCAAATACAAAGATTCAGAATCGAAAAGAAAGGCGTGCGTTATCTCATGGGGGGTAGAACATTCGAGTGTCTCGATGCTGTAATTAACAGGTATACACTTTTGCTATAATTAATTTTGCGTCAAGTAACAAATTTTGATGTTATTGTTTTCTATTGTATTATTTGTCGTTTTATTAGATACCGAAAAGAACAAATAGTGGAAGGGCACACTTTAGTTCAAGCAATGGTGACCGAACCCGATGGTAGTGTCCGAGTAAACAGAGAGGTTCAGCATGCTGAAAAAATTTACGCGACTTTAAGAGAATGTCGAGAACAATCGGGAGCAAAGAAGAACAAAGGGATCAAAATGCAAGGATATTTGGAGAAAAAATCCGAGAAGAATAAAAAATGGAAAGCGTTATACTTTGTGTTGCTGGTCGATGCTACAGATACGCACCTATATCTGTACGAAAATCCTAAAAGAACCAAACCAAAAGGTCTTATCGACTTAAGTTGTGCTTATTTATACCAGGTAAGGAAACATGGCAGTATATCGTATCTTCACGTAAATTAATAACATCAAGTATCTTCCAATGCTAAGTAATATTAATAATACTAAAAAATAAGTGACTACAACACAAAGAAACTATTCTTAGATGCGTTGTGAGTTCATAGTAGATATCTTTTTAGGTCCACGAAAGTGTGTTTGATAGGCCTCATTGTTTCCAATTAGTTGAACGTGCTTTACCATGTCTGGCCACCATAACTTACCTTGCTGCTCCGAATTCCGAAAACGCATTAGACTGGATTAACGCCTTGAAACCACTGTGTGTGTCGCAACTCACTCGCGCTCCGAAAGTTGCCCGCCTTCGTGAATTACGTTCGTTGCACTTGCATATCTTAGATGCGCATAGGCTTCCATATAAGCTAGTTCCGAATCCGTTCATTATAGTTGCCCTAAACAATGTCAAAGTCGCTCGCACAAAGGTTAAAACGGGACTACATCCGCTTTGGGACGAGGAATTCATTCTGGAGTATGTGTATTGACTCTCATATCAAATAAGGTTCGATGTGATTTATTTCTATATTACGTTTTTGTTTGCTAGAGATGTACCTCCGGATGTTATGTCTTTCTCCCTGACTTTGTACAACAAGGGTAAGCGTAGCAAAGACACTGAAGTTGCGGAATTAACAGTTGAATTAGCAAGTTTGACTAATGGCGAAGAAATGGATCAATGGTATCCGTTGTCAGGCGTCACGCCTATAGGAGATTGGGGAGCTTTACGTTTACGTATAAGGTAAACAGTTGTGTTTTAAGGTTTTTAAGATATATACAATATTTTATTAATTTTGTATATCGAAGAATTTATATATTATTAATAAATATTATTAAATATAATTTTATATTTATTTTTTTATTTATATTACAGATACAGACACGACTTAGCTATGCCTCCCGAAGAGTACAGCCCTCTTCAGCAGTTATTGCTAGATCCAGAACTGCATGTTGTCAAGGCTTTAGCAGATGTGTGCCATTTAGATAGAGTACCTTTGGCAAATAGTCTTCTTAGAATCTTTAGGTATAAATAGTTCTGCGTTATTATTGATTAATTGTAAAAAAATACTCGATTTTTTTATATACCAATTTTTTATTTCAGACACGAAAGAAAAGAAGCAGATCTGTTACGATCTCTGAATCAAGCTGAAGTACGTTATATTTAGTAAAATTTGTATATAAGCGTTGTCAAATGTAAAATTTATAATATTGTACAATGTAATTTTTTTCATAGGTTGAAAAAGAAGACGAAACACCGACATTATTTAGAGCTGCCAGTCTTACTACCACTTTAATGGATTTGTACATGAAATCCGTTTGTACTTCATTTTTAAAAGCTGCTTTGCGTGATACGATCTTGAAACTAATTGAAAGTAAACAAAGCTGTGAATTAAATCCAACGAAAATGGATTCTCCGGAAGATGCGTGCAACAACGCGGAATTTTTATTACAAGTATAACATTTTCATTTCAGCATTATGTCCGTGCGTTAACGATCATCGGAATTTGTAACAGCTCATTGCTGTATAATATTGACTTGTTTGTAGGTACTAGACGAAGTTACATTAAGTATCTTCACGAGTCCCGACGCATGTCCACGGACTCTCAGATACATTTGCGGATGCTTACAAAGAGCAGTGGTCGCCAAATGGCCACATGAAAGACTAGTCAGAACTCGAGTTGTCAGCGGATTTATATTTCTTCGCCTTCTTTGCCCTGCCATATTGAATCCTAGGTCGTTCAATTTGATAGCTGAGCCGCCACCTCCATCTGCCGCAAGGTACACACATACGCATCATCATAAAAATGAGAACTTGATAATTCTCGATATCTTCATTTTATTATATCTTTTGCTAATTGTGCGTTGTGCGTTTACATTATTCGTAGATCATTAGTCATGGTGGCAAAATGTCTACAAAATTTAGCTAATCTAGTAGAATTTGGTGGAAAGGAGCCATATATGGAAGTCGTGAATCCATTCATATTAAAAAACAAAGAACGAATGGTGGTGTTTCTTGATCAGCTATCCGTAAGTATTGCTCTTAATAGCAATTCTATCAATAGTAATTGCATCATTGTTAGCTATATAATCTATTCGTGTATCCCAGTGACTGTTTTGTTTTTTTTTAATACTGCGTTATTTATACTCTAAATTTGTCGAGATTAATTAACAACGAAAAATGAAAAGTTTATGTAAGTTACATGTATTATACGTGTAGAACGTTGCGGAAAAACCGGAATCGGAAGGTACAGATCCGAGAACGAAAAGCGTTTCCGATACGGCAAGAGATTTAGCGACGTTACATCACATTTGCGTTTCACATTTGAAAGAGCTTCAAGTTTTGTCAAAGACACAGGTATATATGCACGCACAAACTCGATTCATTATTACGCAGATGCGAAAAACAATTTTGTTATAAAAAAAATAAAAAAAAAAATACATTCATTATTTGCAGCCGACGATTAAACAGCTGGTAACTGTGACTGAAATGTTAAGCAAACACAAGCAAAAATACATGGAAATGATACGGTAGTGCTAGAGCCATCAGTCATAAATAATGCCAAACACAATAAAACGATTTATAAGATTTGACGACGAAATAACATATAGTAGAATATTTAATAAGTATAATTAAGTAACTATAAACGTACAGACTGACGTGCCATATGTATTACTGTATACACTCAAGCCTACATTTACTATTTCATATAT